AAAATACAGAAATACTTTCAAACAGAATTCATGTTGAGTTCAAAGTGATTCAAGTTAAAAAAGATGTGCATGTTTCTGTCCTGGGTTTTAAATTCTCAGAAACACTCTAAATCAAATTCAGCGAAAATGACACCACAATCGGTACTTTTGGGGCCATGTTATAGATCGCAAGCCAAATGACATAAAGGGGATAGGCAAACTGTGCCTGATGACGTTTAACCCTTAAATATGTAAATAAAAAAATCTAAAGGTGTACTTTTCCTACTTTCAGTTCAATAGCAATGCTCTGTATATAGGACCTGTCAGTAAATGAACATGCGTTGTAATCAAGTACATGTATGAGTGATTATTACTGAACTAATTATAGCAGTCTGATCCTATTAATCACCTATATAATGATAACACATTGACCCAATTCTGTCAGTGTTATAGGTATACTCGGTATTTGACTTTACTATATACAAAATTAAATCTGAAATCTACTGAAATTTTTCTTTTCAATTATTTTTTATCTCAGCAGATTTTCAAACAGAATATGAAAACATAAGATAATTTAAACTTTTTCCATGGAGCATCAACATTACCTTCTTTGTACTAAGATAACTAAAATGGTAGAATGGCAAAATGCCCTGATTGAATCTTGATCCAATTTTCGGCAAATACATAATGTACTGAATCGCTAGCACCACAATGGTCTCAAGTTATGGCTTAGACAACTTTTACACAATAATCATAGTAGTCGCAGGCTATGGTAACATGGTTACCTTGATTGGGACTACGCTTCCATACCGGGTCAAAGATTTTTAAATTTTAATGTTCTGCTTCTCTGTACAAGCATGCAACATTTAGAAGCTACAGGAGAATGATATCGATGTCAGATTATTGTGCCCAGTTATGGTGACAGACTTGGTTTCTGCTGACAGTAGTTATCTTGTTAGCTAACAAGCCATTCGTTACCAACATACGGAGATGAATTTTATCATTTAAGGCGATAAGGAGTTCCATTGAATGGCAGCGCAAAGGATTTATGCCCAGATCAATATATCATTCACAGCTATGATATCTTTGGATATCACCTATAAGTAAGATTTTTCATGTTCGGTTCACCGACTTTCCCAATAAAAGTTAAAAAGGTTACTTTCAATTAAAGTTAAAAAAGTTACTTTCTTATTAGTCATTTTGAACATTGTGCCATTTTGTATTTTAACGACACATTTGAACAAACTATCGTGAAATTAATATGTATCAATCTTTATGCAAACCGTATCAAATTTTATAACACATTTATGACAAAATTTGTAACATTTATCCGAACCATGTAAAGTGCTTAACCAAACCATATCAATTTTTAATATTATGCGTCTATTTTTAACAACAATTTCTATATTAAACGTTGATGTATTACATGTGTATTACTTTTTGTATGCTTATTAGTAGAGATGTAGGGCAATCGTTTTGGGGGAGTGTCCTAACCAAATAATTAAACAATCATTGTCCTAAAGGTTAATATATAGTTCTCAAACTTTTGAAAAACCTAATTCACGTTTATCCAACAAGTATCAAAGGCTTGATGTTTATTTTGCAATTAAAATTGTAAGATATAATGCGACCTGTATTTGATACATAAGATAATTGTCATGTTATACTGCTTATAACATGTGTCAAATGTAAAATAAAATCCGAAAAAAAAGAAAAATAAGTGAGATTAAATATAAAAATTACTATGTTTTAGCTGGGAAGACAATATTATATCTTCGAAAAAAACTTTTTTTTTACGATTCAATTATATGTTTAAAAAAGTTCTTAAGATGAATTGAACATTTAAAAAAAAATAATAATATATTATTATTGAATTTATTATTTATTATGAATACTTACTAATATGAATTCAATGTTATTGATTAATCATAAATTAATCATGCTTATCTCGTACCATAATGTGAATGATGACAAAACCAAACCTACTAATAGCTGAACAGTTTTCAGACTGCTAATCAAGAACGACAACTCCAACTAACACCGTAGATATTCTTCACTGCCTTCGTGAAGTACTCATAATTCCGTCATTCGAGAGTAATATATAAATGACAGTTCTGCCTCACTTGGTTTTGAGGAGAAATATGTGGTACTTTGATTAGAAAAACACAGAAATGAACACACCGGTTGAGTCGGGGTTCTATAAAAAGAATGATTTTTAGGGGTAAGAACCCAAACAATGAAATCAACAAAAGAGATACACGAGTTTGAAGATCTTTTCACAGTGTGCTAATCGCAGCCTCGCAGGAGAGGAGAAAGCGACGTACAATTGCGAAAAAAGAGCTGAAGCTCAAAGCTCAAAGAGAGGCCCGACAGAATGCCTAATCCCAACCTGTCTTGAAAGGAAGGGAATTTCCAGCCAGGGGTAACAGACTGAACAAGGAAGTGGGCACAGAGCTGAAAAAGTAGATGTCGCAGAACCTAAACTCGTAGGACGAAGGTATCGAATAAGACTGGGTGAAGTGTTCGTCTAAGAAAACTCGAATAACCATCATCTTTATTTCCAAAGATTATCACCATTGAACAAAAATAGGGAAAACTTATCCGGGAGATGGAGTCTACTTTGTATTAAAAAAGAATGTTTTAAAGTTGGGCTGTGGGGTGGGGGCAGTAAGGTCCTCGCTATACGTGACCGAATGTTGTCGCAGTTGTTGTTTATCATCGAGGTAAAAGTTAAAGCATTTAACAGCGCCACTGTCTTGTCGAGGTCATCATCTTCCAATGCCTTACTAATTGCATCTTAGACCTTGGATCTGTAGGATATATCTAAGTGTACGGTTTCGTCATGTTTTTCCCCGTTTTTTGTTGATACATGTACGTTTGAGGACAGCTAACGAATTGAAAGGTATGCATGCGATGGCGCATATACCTGTTGCAGCTGTGCTGTGTGTACCGGTTGTGCAAATGACGTTTAGAACAGAGCAGGTTCCTAATGCAATGACAAGCACCTTGTTCAATCGTGTTGTATGTTTTAGTACCCGTACGCATTCATGCATCTCTAGTTCTTGTTCGGCGTATTCGATCCTTGCTTCTCGATATGATTGCCTTACAAACTAGAGAAGCATACTTTTTACCCACTCAACGCATTAACTCGGAAAGCAGGTAGTATGGTTTTCGCTTACATGGAAAGCGCTCTCATAGCCAAACCTTCCAACGGATAGGAATCCACATTCCTTTTGTAAGTTTGTTTTCATACTGCTCACCAAGTCGTTACCTCCTTACCCACTTTTAATAGCTTATCCATCTTTAGTATCTATTGCTGAATGAGCAACATATTTTGTCCAACGGCAGACAGATTAGCATACGAGAAACAGATGCAGACTGAACAACAATTAAGTTTAATCCGTACTTACTTATTTAAACCTCACGAAGATGAATGCGTTTGATCAGTTACTGACCTCTAATATTGATTAGAATTACATCTTGATCAGTCAAATGAGTGCTCATGCGGTTGATTGGGTTTAGTGTTACTGGTAAACATACCAAGTTTTTGTTGTTCTGAATGATCTTCGTGCCAGCATCGACGTTGGAAACAAATTGTAGATGGTGGAATATTGTGACCAGTTTACATAGCTGCCACTGATGATATCACTGTTTATTAGAATGCTGTTGATGTTAATGATGTCAACAGTGGTCTCGCCTTTGTCTAACCGCTTGTTGCCTTGTCGTGCATGAAGATTCTGCATTCGAATTCTACTACCGTATTGATTGTCCACGTTGAAGTCCAATTGATAATTTTTGACTAAAATTAATGTCGCCCTCATCGTATTGAGCTTGACATCGAGGTTGATCTTGGTATCGTGTTTGTTTAATTATAGTTGTCTCCGATACTTTAAGAATCGGTATTCAACGCACTTGTAAACCAGGAGCTACCATTGTCGTTAGGAAAAAAAAGATGTTGGGGAAAGAGTAGTAAGTCTCCAAGTTTACCAGAGCAATCTTGTAAATCTTTTCATCTTTCAGGTGAAGGGGTCGATTGAACCAAGTGTAGATTTTGTTGTCATTTACCGAACACGATGAAAGAGAACCCGTGCTTCCGAGCTGTATTGTCGGCAACGCGTTGTAACACCTTGGTATATGTTTATTTACACAACGTACATCTTCTGTTAGTTGGGTTCGAACTGTGAAATTCTACAGGAAACGACCAGAGCGAATGCTTCAGTGTTTGCCGGGACGTTGTGGTCGAATTCTACCTGTTTCTGATACATGCTAATTCTGTGGTTTGCCAGTTAAGCTCAGAAGTTAGTTTGATCGAAACATGTCATCAAGCTATTCAGAATTGTGGGGTAAGCTTTGAATATATGATATATTTATACTGTGTTCCACAATGTTAAGTTCCATTACAAAGTTTCAAAATTAAACTAACACAAAAATAAAAATAAAATTTTCAATATTTTTTTTTAATATAATGACTAAATTTTACTTATCGGAAAGTATTTATGTATTACACTATTTTACTTTGCAAAAAATCTGCTTAATTTCATGATTTCATAGTGCATTTTGTTATTAGTGCTTTCAAATATTGGTTATTCTGATAGACTCCTAATAATTGTATGTCTTCTCGGTTGCTTTGTTGTACATGTAACCGCTGTCGGTGTGTGTGAATGCTTTTTGACACAATTTATATTTGTTTCTTAAAACCAGTTTTTCTTCTGTCGAGTGAATGAACGATTTTATTCTCATAAACTAGTACAAAGTCACAGTGAAAGTAACAGTTCATATATAATACATATCATTTTGTTATGCATGTTGGAAAATAAATAACAATATATAAGTAGTGTTCCATCAACCAGGAAGTCAAATTTTTACTAATATGTATCGTATAAAATATATGTTTAAATTTAATAATTTTAGCATTTTTTTTTCAAATATCATTGGTTTGATTTACACTAGATTCACTATAACTCTAATAACAGGTAAAAGCATTAATCCTTATTACATAATTATTACGTTTCACCAAAATGAAATAATTAACCAGTATACGAAAATATCAAATGTTGGAGAAACGTGAAAACACCCTATTATTCTGTGCAATATGAGAAAAGAAAACTATCCGAACAGATATTAGAACAGATTTGATATCAAACAACGTGCATAATCTTTTTAAGTAGAAAATCATATATCACATCAGTGACAAATTTAAAGTCATAATAACATTTCAATAGATAACTTTTATTTATACAGAATGCCCAAGGTAGTTCGTTTAAAGAAATATCGATATCGAAATTTGAATGACAAACATTAAGTTAAAGTTTTTGAATATAACCGTATCGGTTAGGAATGATAATAACTTCTGTCATGCATAAAGATATTTAAAAGAATTCAGTCGAATTTCTTACTGTATGGAGCAGAAATCATAATTGGATAGTTACATTTAGATATGAAAATGAATCAGATAAGACGCATGTTCCTTGTATCAATCATGATAACAATAGCAAATGGGAACAAATCAATGTCTTGTACGTACATGAGGAATAGAAAACACAAGCTGATTGCTCATTGTGAAAATCAAGGATTTGCTTCTGTGCCAAGGAATCTTAGTCGAGATATCAATGAGTTAATTCTTTCAAATAACTTGATACGCAAGCTCCAAAACGGTTCCTTCGCCCATTATGCGAAAATGGAAATCTTGATTTTGAGCAAGAATCTTATATCTGAAATCCAAGAGGATGCTTTTGCTGGACTACATTTGCTGAAAGTTTTGAAGGTAAATGATAATTTGATAAACATCACAATCCTTCCAAAGGAAGTTTTCAGACATCTTATTTATCTAATTGAACTGGATATAAGTCGAAATAAAAAGCCATTGAACGAAAACACTACGTTTGTCTATCCTGATGGTGCATTTTCTTCATTACGTTCCTTGCAAAATCTTTCAATTGATTTATTCATGTTCCCTGAATTTGGAGCAGGATTTAGTTCCCTTCAAAACCTTACTGTATTGAAATTTTCACGATGTCATTTGAGAAATAGTAGTCGATTTCGGCTATTGAATTCAACGTTTGAAAATTTCTCGGCAAACCTGAAAGAACTCTATATCAGCGGCTGTCGCAATTTTTTTCTACTCGAAGATGGATTGTTGGAATACTTTCCTCACTTAAAAATTTTAGATCTGTCCGAATCATACGTTCACTTATATCAAGCATTGCGTATTCTTCATCCGTTTCAGTATAAAAACATGTCTGTTATAAATTTCCACCACATAAGTGATAATTCAATCAATGAAGATGATTACCCGTACTCTGTTGTAATAACAGTAGAATTAATGAAATATTTAAAAACTATCTGCATTGAAGCATTGGACCTGTCGAGAACAGGAATAGTAGATTACCAGGATAATTCTTTGTTCTCGTTCGAACATCCAGAATGTTTCAAAACTTTCATCATATCGGCTAACAGACTACCAGCAACAACTGCACATCGTTCCAGTCAAATTTATATTTTTTTCATGAAGGCGATTAATATGAAGATTTACGATTGTTCATACCTGACTATAGATTATGCGCATCCTGTCTATTTAAACGTATACAACACGACAGCTTTTAATAATTTTCCAGAAAGTACTAAATATTTTCAAATGCCTCCGCTTATTAATCATTCGCTTCCATCTTCAATAGAATTTCTTAGATTTACACATATACAAATCGCCCCTTCTTCGGCATCTATAACTTGCAAAAACACATCGCTTAAATATCTAGATGTATCATATGGTGTTTACATACATTATCCAAAATTTACAGAAGACTGTGTAAAGCAGCTGGAATATTTGGACATTTCTGGTATTCCAGTAGCAATCATTACATTTCCATCAATACTCTTGCCAAAACTCTCCATACTAAAAATGACGAATGTACGCATAGACCAAATTGTACTTAAAGGTAGAGAATGGATGTCTTTTAGAGCCCCTAAGTTGAGAGAAGTAGACATATCTTTTAATTATATTTGGACTTTGGAGGAAACAACATTTTTCGAACAGCCCCATATTACGCATTTAAATATGTCAAACAACCTATTCAGAACCATTCCTGTTTTTGTTACCAAGCTTCAAAAGTTGGAATCTTTGGACCTTTCCAATAATTTGATTACTTCTATTGACGATAACGTAAGGCTTTGGCTGGATAAAATGACCAATTTAAATCGTTTTCGTATCCTAAATTTGGATAACAATGCTTTTATATGCTCATGTGACACTCTGGATTTTCTTCTGTGGTTTGAAAATACAAACGTAACATTTTATAACGGAGACAATTATACCTGTATCATATCAAAAAACAAGCAGCAAATCCTGTTGAGGGAGGTATCAAAGAATACCAAGAAATACTTCGCAGACTGCGAAGCAACTATATGGCTTTATGTTGGTATAGCATTGGTTGCTAGTGCCTTCGGTATTTTTGTACCTCTTTCCCTCCTTTATAACTATAGATGGAATATTATTCTTTACATGTATAGGAAAGTCAGGCGAGTTGTTGAGAAAAATTTACATGAAAACTATATGTACGACGCATATGTTTCTTATGAAGACAGAAGTGTAGCGTGGATACAGAAGTTTCTCCTTCCAAAAATTGAAGAAGAATGGAGACTTAAAGTGTTCTTACATGATCGAGATCTTCTTCCTGGAGATCTTACTGCAGATGCAAAAGCAGAATCAATTCAGCAAAGTAGGCATGTTGTATTCATTATTACTGAACATTTTACCGAAGGAAAGTGGGGAAGATTCGAAATAGAAAGAGCAAAGTATGAAAAATATACTACAAACCTGAGAAAAATAATTGTTATTTTACAAAATATTCGAATCAAGGATATTCCAGACGAAATTGTGAATATTTCAAATGATGTATGCTTTATTGAAATGGCTTTGGACGAAAACGAAATTGATGACAGTACAGATAATAAAAGTCATTGGCTTAAGCTAAAGGCTTTGCTTTATCTAAATTAGAAAATATGAATATTTGAGGAACAAAAGATGTAAAATGAGAATTTTTATGGTAAAATTACAAAACTAATAAAATGTAAACAGATATACTGGTTTAATGAACACCATATTCCGATGAATAAAGTCAGACACAAAAAGACAAACTACAACGGAGACACAAATCATTTAACCAAAACATTTAGATTGAACAACATGAACCCGTAAAAGGTGGGGATGAAATCAGATGATTCGGAAGTTTAAGCAATGTCTGCTTTACATGTTGCCACAAAGACAAGTAAATTTTCGACAATAAGTCTTATTCGGCGATATCAACATCTAAGAATTGAGGAAGGTATTATTGCTGTGAAAAGTGGCAGAAATATATAATTATTTTGAATGTTTGGTAAGCAAAAATTTGTAAGAGTATCTGAAAAATTCAAATACAACCAGCTTTATGAAATTGCATATTTCATCATGTCGACATAATGACACTGTCAATCCGTGGATGAAACAAGGTGCTCGAGACGAGTAAGCAGTTCATGGTCCACCAAGGGTTATTTTAATGTCGCTCAAGACTCATTTAGCATATTGACTCATCCGAGGTCGTTGGTGATACATTTTTTCCAAAAATGCCAAACCAAATATGTGGAGTCCGTGTATATATTTTGTCCAGAAACCAACTAACAAAATACAGGAAGGTTTATCATTTCGGTTGTATCTACGCATCAGTGTAAAAATCAGGACTAACAAAATATCTTAGACTTCAAACTACTTGTGTACCATCATAGGGATATAGTCAACCAAAGAACACGAAGTAGCTCTAAAAAACTCATCTCCAATGTCCTTTGTTTATAAGAAGGTCTATGACAAAAATGAAGTCACATTCAATTTGATACATATATACAGTCCTAGCTAGTTGACCGATGCAGAAATATGTGCTATAACAGAATTATTTAATAGGTTTTCATCACTTCCTATTTGGTTTATATATATATATCCTAAATGGTGCGCGAAATGTCACTTATCAATATTAGTACTTGGTCTAGATACTTTTGGTTAATGACTTTTCAAGAAACTGAATATTTTTCTATGTTAAAGTAGGTCTGTGGAAAGACCTATTGTATTTGTTCTGATTATTATTATTATTTTTAGGTCTTAACACTTCTCCGTGGAAAAACCTATTGATTTTGATCTGATTATTAGGTCTTTCAACTTTTCCGTGGAAAGACCTATTGCTTTTGTTCTCATTATTAGGTCTTTCCACTTTTCCGTGGAAAGACCTTTTGCTTTTGTTTTGATTATTTGATTAGGTCTTTCCACTTTTCCGTGATAAGACCTTTTGCTTTTGTTCTGATTTTTTTTCTTCCGCCTAATTTGTTTTCTTCCGCTGTATTGTTGTTTCAAAAGATATCGCTTAGATTTTTGGTATAGGATATCGAACAGTTTATACGCTTTTAAAACTGACACCGCTAAACCGAACATTTTATTTTGTAAGAGTTATCTCCCCGAACACAGTTTTTCTTGTGTGTACTACTCCTTTACAACCTTAAAAGATTACGACAAATTTATTTTACCAAATTGCTCGTTTTATCCACAGAATCTTTTGATTAATTTTGACCGAAGCGGTATAGAGATTCAATATGAGAGTTTATTCCACTTATGCATTTGATATAAGTGATATACATTTGTAATTGGTAAACCATGAGTGATAGAGACCTAGGGTATTTTGATTTGAGGTCCTTGGACCAAAAAAAAAAGAAGAAAATTAGGTCAAGGTCAAAGGTCAATGTCTTATTCTAAATTTTGATTTTGGCTTATTTTCACTTTTTTCATAAACCGTATAAGATATCGGCTACATATTTTTACTAAATTGTTAGTTGCAACATGTCGTTACTCATCAATTTTGTTTGAAAGGACGCGTAACGTTAAATGGGAGTTTTTGCCCCTCTTATTTTTAGAATTATGCGTAAAGTGATAAAACTCATTTACCATACATATTAAAGACCTAGGGTCTTTTGAGTTGAGGTCCTGAGTTGATGACCTTGAAAATGAGATCAAGGTCATAGGTAAATTTGACGTTCTAGATTTTGACCTTTGCTTTAAATTCATATTCATACACAATAAAGCCATAAGACTTTGTGAATTAGGTTATGACGTGGAAAAAGCAAACCGGAAGTGACCTTTTGTAAACTGGAAGTGACTATTTTTTATACTTATTTTATGTAAAATGTATATAGAACAATATATTTTTGGAAGCAGTGTCAGATAAACCATCAACTAATGGCGGAATTGACATTTTCAGACCGGAAGTGACAAAATACCTTCAAATTTGTATAGAAATCGTATATTTTTGGAATCAGCAAACAATCTCCCCGAACACTGTTTTTCTTGTGTGTACTACTCCTTCGCAACCGTAAAAGATTACAACAAATTTATTTTACCAAATTGCTCGTTATATCATCAGGATGTTTTGATTAATTTTGACCGAAGCGGTATAGAGATCCATATGAGAGTTATTTCCCCTTATGCACTTTATATAAGTGATATACATTTGTAATTGGTAAACCATGAGTGATAGACATCTAGAATTTTGATTTTGGCTTATTTTCACTTCTATTCAAAAACCGCATAAGATATCGACAACATATGTTTACTAAATTTTTACTTGCGACATGTCTTTACACATACATTTTGGTTGAAAGGGTACACTTAAAGTGGAGTTTTCTCCTCTCTTATATTTAAAATTACGCATATGGTGATATAACTCATTAACCATATATAATTAAGAGCTAAGCTCTGTTGATATGAGGTCCTTGGTTTATAACCTTGAAATTGAGCTCAAGGTCATAGGTAAATTTGATGTTCTAGATTTTGACCTTTGCTTTTACCTCATATGTATACATTATAAGGCCATGGGACTTTTAGCATTAGGTTGCAAGCCACTTGTACAATGGGAAAGCCAACCGGAAGTGACCTTGTGTAAACTGGAAGTAGCTATTTTTTTGTACTAATTTAATGTTAAAGTATCTTGACCATATATATTTGGAATCAGTGTCAAGTAAACTATCAAATAATACCGGAAGTGGCATTTTTCAAACCGGAAGTAACAAATTATCACCGTTATGTAAGAAAAATTGTATAGAAACCATATATTTTTGTAATCAGTGTATATTAAGCTATCATTTGACGCTGAAAATGACATTTAAACCGAATTTTAATCTTTTCATGTCAAAATAGATCTCTAAACAATTGGTTTTTAATTTTTTTTTTTTCCGACTAATTTTTTTTCTTACCCTGTTTGGTTGTTTCGCAAAATGTCTATTTGACATTTGGTATACGATATTGAACAGTTTATGCGCTTTCAAAACTGACACCGCCTAACTGAATACTGTAAGAGTTATCTCCCCAACACTGTTTTTCTTGTGTTTGCTACTCCTTCGCAACCGTTAAAGATATTGACAAAATTATTTCACCAATTTGCTCGTTATATCCTCAGGATGTTAAGATTGGTTGGACCGAAGCGTTCTGGAGACTTCATATGCGAGGTATTTCCCGTTATGCATTGGATATAAGTGATATTCATTTGTAACTGGTAAACCATAAGTGATAGAGACCTAGGGTCTATTGATTTGAGGTCCTTGGTCCAAAAAAAAAAAGAAAATTAGGTCAAGGTCAAAGGTCAAGTTCACATTCTAAATTTTGATTTTGGCTTATTTGCACTTCTTTCAAAAACCGTATAAGATAACGACAACATATCTTTACTAAATTGTTAGTTGCAACATGTCGTAACACATAAATTTTAGTTGAAAGTGTACGTTGACATATAAAGGCAGTTTTATCCCCTTTTATACGTAAAATTATATGACTCGTTAACCATATCTAATAAACACCTAAGGTATTTTGATTTAAGGTCCTTGGTTTATGACTTTGAAATTGAGGTCAAGGTCAAAGTTGAGTTTGACGTTCTAGATTTTGACCTTTGCCTTTACTTCATATTTATACGTGCTAAAGCCATAGGACTTTTTGCATTAGGTTGCAAGCCATGACCTTGAAAAATCTTGGAAGTGACGTTGTGTAAACCGGAAGTAGCTATTTTTTGGACTTATTTAATGTAAAAGTATATAGAACCATGTATTTTTGGAATCAGTGTCAAGTTAACTATCAAATTATACCGGATGTGACATTTTGCAAACCGGAAGTAACAAATTATATCCCTTATTTCAAACAAAAGTGTATAGAAACCATATATTTTTTAAATCAGCTTACAATAAGCTATCATTTGTCACTGTAAATAGCATTTTAAACTGGATTTTTGATATTTTTGTATCAATATATATCGTTTCAGGTGGAAAGACCCTCAATTGTTCTCTGAACAATTGGTTTTTATTGATTTCCTTTTTTTCTTCCGCCAAATTTTGATCTTTCGTTAAATTTTTGTTTCGCTATATGTCGCTTAGATATTTCTTATTTTGTATCGAACAGTGTATGCGCTTTTTAATTTCACCCTGCTAAGCCGAACAATTATCTATGTAAGAGTTATCTCCCCATTCACTGTTTATCTTGTGTGTGCATCTCCTTCATTACAAAAACGATATTGACAAAATTCTTTTTCCAAATTTTTAGTTATATCCTCATATAGATTTGGTCAATTTGAGCTATCTACCCTTCAGTATTTATTTTATCGATATGTCAGTGTTACTCATAAACCGTAAGACGTAATGACCTAAGGTCTTTTGATTTGAGATCCGTGAGTCATAACTTTGAAATTGGGGTCAAGGTCAAAGGTCAAGGTCACAATCAAATTTTTTCCCGTTGTCAGTGTGTGCATCTCCTCTCAAACTATGAAAGCTAGATACAAAAGAACTGATGCAAAATGTTTGGGTTGTTGAGAGGAAGAAATGGTATATTTGGTCCAAAGCTATCTGATGCTATCTTATAGGAGTTATTGCACCTAAAATGTTAAAATTTAAGGTAAATCGAATATAACTTCATTCTGGTACATGATAAAGCCATAGTGTCTTTTGCAAAGGGTTGACTGACATATGACCTTGAAAAATATTAACCGGAAGTGACCTTGTGCAGTAAATCAAGGGAAAAATACTTATAAACTATAGACTTTTAGAATCAACATACAATAACCTTTTAATGATACCGAAAGTCGTCTTCTGTAAACTGGGAGTAGCTTATTATCTCCCTTATTTGAAAGAAAAGTATCTAGAAACCATATATTTTCGGAATCAGTGGAAAGTAAGCTATCATATGAGACCGGAAATGACTTTTTCTTAACCAGAAGTTCCAGATTATTTCCCAAGTTTAAGTAAAAAATATAGAAACCATATAAATTTTTTTTAATCAGTATGACGAAACCTAGGTTTGGACACCAATAGTAACTTTGGGTTAACTGGAAGTAGCTTCTTATCAATTATTTAAAAATGTATTGTGGAAAGACCTTCAATTGTTTTCTGAACAATTGGTTTTTAATTTATGTTTTTTTCTTCCGCCAAATTTTGTTCTTGCGTGTAATTTTTGTTTAGCAACATGTCGTCGCTTAGATAAACAGTAAAATTGTTATCGAACAGTTTATGCGCTTTTAATATTGACCTGCTTAACCGAACAATTTTCTTTATAAGAGGTATCTCCCCAAACACTGTTTTTCTTGTGTGTGCATCTCCTTCGCAACCGTAAAAGAAATCGACAAATATATTTTTCCAAATGGCTCGTTAAATCCTTAGAATGTTTTGGTCAATTTTAACCGAAGCGATACTGAGACTCCATATGAGAGTTATTTCCCTTTTTGTATTTGACATGAGTGGTATACAAATGTAACTCATGAACCGTAAGTGATAGAGATCTAGAGTATCATGATTTGAGGACCTTGGTCCACCAAAAAGAAAATGGTGTCAAGGTCAAAGGTCAAGGTCATTTTCTAAATTTTGCCCCTAGCCTGTGTGTACCTCTTA